GGCTGGAGAAATCCCTCCTCTAGGCACAACAGAGGCCACAGGTTTCCAAAGAATGATCACCGCAGTCAGTGCAGAGGTGTGGCTTCTCATCCTGGATGGGTTCCTCACAGGAACCCAGACTTTGTTTAGGGATGGAGATCAGAGACCTGGCAAATATCAGGCAAATATCAGGTCACATTTGTCCTCAGGCTAGCCTTAAGCAAAGGGGCCTAGTCTAGGGGACAGGAGTCATGTTAAGGCAACTGGCAATCCTACTGAATTGAATGAGAACCTTAGAGGATTCTCCAGAGATCTCTCTTCTCCCCTTTGGCCATAGGGAGAAGACGGTCAGCCCCTATGAGATGTGAGCCTTTGCCCTGACGCCTCCAATAGTAGTAGAAATAGAGTTCTGCTCTTTCCAAGTCACCAAGCTCACTGTGTAGTTTGCTGTGGCGTTCTCCGATCACGCTGCTTGCTTCCCTCTAACATATCTTCCCCTAGTACTCACCCGGAGTCAGGAGTGGATAGGGAGTGGGTTCAGCAGGCAAGACACCTCACTCCACACTATGCTTATCCGGAAGGCACCTCAGAGGTTCAGCAAAGCTAGAGGCAATGCTCCATATTTGCCCCCTTTCCACATCATGAACTGAGAATTAGCTCAACTTTCATGGGAGTGGGGAGCATTTGCTGGAAGGCTAATAGGCAGGGGTGGTCCTGGCTCAAAATGAATGAGCCTAGGACTTTCAGGCAATGACTCCTGCTAACAGAACTGTGCATCAAGAGAACTTGGCAATGGTATTAGAACATTTCCTTGTTGCTGTGATAACAAAGCAATTTAAGGGAGAAAGGGTTTATTCTGGCTCACAGCTGAGGTATGGCAGGGAAGGAAGGTATGGCGGTAGAACCTTGAAGCAGTTGGTCACACTGCATCCAGAGTCAAGAAACTGACTAATGTTGGTGGCTCAGCTTGCTTTCTCCTTTTTATTCAGTCCAGGGCCTCAGCCCATGGAATGGTGCCACCCACAGTCAAGGTGAGTCAACTCAGTTAGGGTGACTTGTCCTACTTCAGTTTACCTTAGACAGATAATCTTTTGTTTTGCGTTTTGTTGTTGTTTTTGAGACAGAGTTTCTCTGTATAGTCCTGGCTGTCCTGGAACTCACTCTAGATCAGGCTACCCCCGAATTCACAGATATCCACCTGCCTTTGCCTCTGAGTGCTGGATTAAAGGTGTGTGCCACCACTGCCCAGCTTAATCAATCTTTCACAGGCATGCCTTGAACTAACCTGTCTACACAGTCCCTCATAGGCATGATACTGTTAGGTTGAGGGTATTAACCACCATAGCCACCTACACAGGTGACATTAGATGTGCTCTCCCAGAGGTGCCACGGGACAGAACTGAAGGCACCGGGCAGCTGTGAACTGGAGAGTGGTACGACTGCTTCCAGCCCACAACAAGGCTCTTCTCTAGGTGCTCACAGGCTCCTAACAAGATCTTCCTCACCAGTCTTCCTTTTTAAAAATTACTTTTGAGGTGCTGGGGATTGAACCAAGGTCTTGTATGTCTAAGCTGTACCACTAAGCCATGCTCCTAGGCTTAGTAGTGTCATTAAAGAACCAGCTCTGCTTTATCAGGCCTTTGATCTCGGCTATTAAGAGACTGAGCCAGGAGGGTCACAAATTCAAGATCCCCTGGGCTGCAGAGACAGTTCAACACCAGCCTGGGCAACTTACTGAGACCTTGTCACAAAATAAAAAGGAAAACATGGCTGAGGGTACAGCTCAGTAGTAGAGTGCTTGTCTAGCACATTTGAGACGATAGAATCAATCCCCTAATACTGAAAGCGGGGAGGGGAGATATGACATAATTGTTTTCATTAATTTTTGCTTTTATCTTATTTTCTTCCACAGCAGCCCTGGAGAATCCAATAAATACCTAACCCCTGCCTCCTGTACTCTCCCCTCAAAAAAAAAAAAAAAAAAAAAAAAAAAAATAAATCTTAAAAAAAAAAAAAAAAAAAAAAAAGGCCTGGAAATGCCTCTTGTGTACTGACCATGACTGGCACACACCTATAAATCTCCAAGACAAATCCAGCTGTAGAGTAGCAACTTAAGTTCTCACTCCAACATCAGTGTAGATCACAGGCCAACAATCTGCACATGATGCCCCTGGACACACAGGTGAGAGAAGTAGACCCAACAGACTAGGACGCTGTCCCAAGGGACCTATGGTAAAGGCCACTGCTCTGAAGGCTCAGAGCTCTTAGGGGTCCTAACACCAGGCTTCTCCAAGATGGCAAATGACAGACTGGCCTTCTAGATAATGTAGGATACCTCAAGTTTACCTGAGGCCCTGACTCAGGACCTCCCTTTAGTTCAGTTTCCTTCCAATGTATTCAAAGGAACCCAGCACGCACTACAGCAAGGACCCTGAGACCTCTACCACCTCAGACAAGCCCACTCCTGAGAGAAGAATCTGTCATCTGCTCAAGAAAGGCAGATAGATGCAGGGTGCTTTTCTGTCCACTAATAAGGATAGATTTCCTTAGAAGAAATCACCTTCAGTGGGTCTTGAACTGCAGATTTGATCTAAGATCCCACAAAGGCCACTAGTCTGTCCCTAAGGCCTACTTCCATGCTGAACCCCACCCCAGCACAGAAGGCACAACTGACCCAGCAGCACATCCTAGCTCACATTAGGGATGCCCAATTACTTCCCTCACAACACAGACAGCCATGTGACTCACCCTCAGCAGTAAAGACCTCTTCCAGCCTAGACAATGAGACAGCTGGAGTGACCACTTCAGGCCTTGCCCCAGATCCTGATGACAAAACTGCCGCCAGCCCCACCCAAAGTACCTTCCCAGACTGTATTAACCCCAGTGAGAAACAAGTAAGCACTCAGCTCACGAAAGCCGCAAGTACTTTGAGGAGATATGATGCTACCAGGTGCAGCCAAATCACCCCTTCCTATAAACCATCTTGGAGACACAGAATACCTGACAGTGTTGACAGAGAGCAAAAGGCAATTCCCAAGTCACAAACAGTTCAAATTTAGATTTATTTAGTAGTCTTGTTTGAAAAACATACAACCCTGGGACAGCAATTCTCTCAACACACCCAGTCCTTGTAAGAAGCAGCTTTCAGCTGAGAGACTCGTGCAAACACATCAGGGGTTTCTGGAACTCAAGAACCAAAAGGAAGACTTCCAGGGAAAGCCTCAACCATCAAGACATCGGCTACACAAAGCAGCAGCTCACATCTTGCAGGTGAGAGCAGGGACACATGCAACTGAAGTCCTCAAGCATGCTAGGCAAGCACTCTACCACTGAGCTATAACCCCAGCTTAAAAACTGTTAAAAACTTAAAAAAGGTAGGCTCGTTAGATGGGCTAGTGGGTAAAGGCACTTGCTGGCAAGCCTAACAACCCAAATTCAATCCCCAGAACCCACATGATAGGGAACTGACTCCCACAGGCTGTCCTTTGACCTCTGCTCCTCCACGCAATAAATAAATGATTTTTAAAAAGGTTTTAGACTTATTATCTTGTGTGTGAGTGTTTCGCCTACATGTACCCATGCATACCACATGCATGCAGTGCTCTCAGAGGCCAGAAGAGGGCACTGGATCTCCTGGAACTGGAGTTATGGATAAGCCATCATGTGGTGCTGGGATCCAGGTCCTCCGCAAGAGCAACAACTGCTCTAACCCACGCCCTATCTCTTAAGGAAAGGAACCAGCTAGCTCTGGAGGGCAGCCACACTCAAGTGCTCCAGCAGGTGAGAACTCACCAAGCCCTTCTCAGTAGGACAAGTGGACCAGTCCAGGTAAGGGTATGCCCACGAGTACCTCAATGTTCTATTTATAATCTAAAAGCTTCAGACACTCATTTTGTAGGGCCCAGGAAGACCATCAAAGTACAAAGATCCACCCCAGGATTCAGAAACAGGGTTCTGTGGACCCAGGAGAGCAGTAGCTACAGGTTCACAGTTCTTGGACCAATCAGGTTGCCTAGGACAGCCCTGCTGTCGTCAGTACTTGGTCCTTAGCCCTTCTTTTGGAGATAAATATCTTACATCTCAGAAGTAGCCTCTGACTAATGAATCTCTGGGAGTGGGGATGCCTGTAGGCCTGGTTGTACAGAGTAATTCCTTCCTCAGTAAACTGGACAGAGATGCACCTGTCAGACTCTGAGCAGAGTCTGCCCTAGCTCAGCAGAGGGCTTCAGTGGAGCTGAGACTTCACAGCCCAGCACCTCCCTCTGCACAGGAAAGGGGGTGGGGTGGGGAAGCACAGCTAGAAAGAGCAAAAGGAAACAGCGCATGCTTATAGCACTAAGGGGGAAAAAAAAACAAAACAGACCTGAGGAGTTCCCCTAGGCTCAGCCCCAATTTCTCTGCAGGCTCCTGGGCTTGTAAAATTTCTATATGGAGGCTGGCTGAGAGCCAGGGTACTCTCGGGGGCCTAGGAAGGGGATCTGTGGAAGACCCTCCCACAGGTGGGGCCAAGCCTGGAAATGAGGCCATTTCAAGACCAGTGGACAAACCAAATCAAGCTCTCTCTTTTATACCAGACTGGGGTCTCAGACAAAGAGCACAGCCAAGATACCCCCAAGTAGAGGGAGACAAGTCTGACCTTGTAATTGCTGCACAGGACTGCATCAAACTCAAAGAAGCAAACGACACAACTTTTCTGGGGCATCAAGATCAATGCACAGGCCATCTGGCCCAGGCCACTGTTCTGAATCTTCAGGGGTTCAAAGTCTTTTCAAAATAAACCAGAAGCCAGAACATGCCATCATCCCCAAGTTAGGCATAATCCCTCAAGGCCCTCCTCACAGGGCAGCAGTCCTATTATAGAGGAGGGACAGGGCTCACAACAGGCAGGCTTCCTGCCATGACCCAAGCAGGATGACACACAAAGACTGCAGTTACCTGGGAAGATCCAGACAACTAGGGTGCTGTGCTTGCCTCACAAAGAACATATATCCTCTAAGAGCCAGGGATGGGACAGGTGTCGTCACACACCACTCACAGGTAGTGATTGAACCAAGCTGGCTTCCCTCATTTCCGAGAGGATCCTCATAGCTTCTCACTCTAGTACCCTCTGTCACTGCCACTGTTCTCCTGGGGTTCAGTAGTGGGGCCATGGCAATCCTGAGGCCCCTTCAAGTTTCACAAGCAGACCCGTTAGGAGACCAGCGGGCACAGTGACCCATCAGCCTTTGAGAGCCCCACCTGGAATCTCACTTCTACATGCTAGGTTGAGCAGTGGTTCTCAACCTTCCTGACACTTCGACCCTTTAATACAGTTCCTCATGTTGTGGTAAGCATCAACCATAAAATTATTTTTGTTGCTTCTTCATAGCTGTAATTTTGCTATAATTATGAATCATAATGTAATATCTGTGTTTTCCAATGGTCTTAGGTGACCCCTGTGAAAAGGTCATTTAACCCCCAGCAGGGTCACAACCCACAGGCTGAGAACTGCTGTTCATCACTGAGATTGCCAACTGTGAGGAATAAACACAAGATGGCTCCGATCTGAGACACTGGCCTCTGAGTAGGAAGGGGTGTTGTCACGTGACGAATCACAAGCATGCAGAGACAGTACCGGCTTCCAAGTCCACATACAACTGGTCTCCCAACACCTGACAAGGAAGCTAACGGAGTCAGATAACCGCTCATAGTACAGGGTCTGGCAGCACCTTGGGACACACCACGAGCACAAGAGAAGCACAGAGCCTATGGTGGGACACAGGCATGAACCACCATGGTCCCCACTGGCAAAGCAGCTTCCCTAACCAGAACTATCTCCTTCTTTCCCAGGAAGCTTTAATCGTCTTCTTTTCACAACTAAAAATGGGCCAGGATCCAGCAGAGGACAGTGGCAAGGAAGGCTCAGCATGAAAAAGAAAAGCAGCTACCATCCAGTGTACCTTGTGACCACCCCTTTCTCAGTTCCCTACAAGATCCTGGTAGGGGTCGTCAAATTCACGTGGCTTTGTGTTAACAGTACCTCCAAGACTAGAAAGGATTAAAAACTCACAAAGACCTTTATGTGTTTTTATTTACTCAATAAAAATCTTTAAGAAGGGAAATAGGCAAAGATTAAAATAGAACTCATAAACCAAATCAAGCCTCACCACAAAAATGTTAACACTTGGCAAACAGCTGAGCATGGTGGTACATACCTGCTATGCCAATAATCACGGGACAGAGGCAGGAGGGTCAGGAGTACAAGGCTATCCTCAGTTACAGATTGATTGAGTTCTAGGCCAGCTTGGGCTATTGGAAACCTGGGCGGGGGAGTATGAACCAGGGCAGGGGAATGGTAGAGGGGAAGAGAAGGAGAACAGAAACTGTTGTTTTCCTTTGCAGTACAGCTCCATGGTAAAATGTGTACTTATATATGCATGGCCTTGGGTTAATCTATCAGTCTCAAGCATTCTTTAGGTACAGAGGTCACCCTGCCTATGCAGACTGGACATGAGTGGGGAGCTAACTGGATTTACTAATGTGCAGAGGTGCTCATTGTGGCCATGACCCTGATGAGTAAGACCACTGTGCCAGAAATCATGTCCCAAAGCTGCCACACTGCAAAATGCTAGCCCTTCCCTTCCTAGGGGTCAGGCAGCAGCATGATGATCCCTGAGATCTTCTACAAAGTGGAACTCCTCAGGCTCTTGATAGAAAAGTTGCTACAAGTCCACAACCCCCTCTCCACCCAGTGGAAGTGCCTACAAAAAGCTAAGAAAAGGTCATGGATCAAGGTCCCATCTTTAGAAACACATCCTCACAGAGAACTTATCAGTTCTTATCTTAAAACATTTCTACTGTCCACCAGCCTCGACTCAGTTCTTCTCTTGCCCTGGTTTAGGGCAGAACAGTTTATCAGAGGTTACCAACAACTTATACCCATCAACAGATGCAGGGCTTGGACTTTCCATCTCCAGGCAGGTGAAAGAATAAGCAAAGAGCCACACTGGCCTTTTCCTGCTTTCCCTGACTAAGCAAGCCTTCCCAGGTCCAGTACTGAAGTTCCCAGGCTAGTCTTGGAAGTGATCCACTGCCTGAGGTTATGAGTCCCACCCACTAAAAAACTAGAGCTAGCAGAGCAGAGAACACAGAAATCAATCTCTCTCTCTCTCTCTCTCTCTCTCTCTCTCTCTCTCTCTCTCTCTCTC